ACGTCGGACGACGAGGCTACGCGGCTCCAAAAGCAGCGCCAGGGCAAAGCCAAAGCACGCGCCGCTCAGAAGGCGAGTGAGACGCCCGAAGAGAAGGCTGCGCGGCTCCAAACGCAGCGCCAGGGCAAAGTCAAGGCACGCGCCGCTCAAAAGGCGAGTGAGACGCCCGAAGAGAAGGCCGCGCGGCTCCAAAAGCAGCGCCAGGCCAAAGTCAAGGCGCGCACAACACATGATGATGGCCTTCACGACCTTGCCGGGAGCATTCTTTCGCACCAGAGCATCGATGCTGCCAGCATCAAAGCCATCTCGCAGAACTTTACCAAATACCCGAACCTCGCGATCGCTGCCTTTCACCTCTGCTCTGGAAACCCCGACGCACATATCTGCAACGATGAGACGTTGAACGGCCCGGGCGGCCGTGCCGTTTGTGACCGCGTCTTGCGTGCTGTCGGCGAAGCTGTTGGCCAGGCTGACGCTGCTCGCTGCCAGGAAAGTGCACGCCAGCGTGATGCCGGGTCCGGGCGTATCGCTGCCTGCGCCTCGTGCAATGAGGCGCTCTACGAATGCGAAGGACATATTGTTGACGCGGGGCCTATCGAACGCTTACCGGCACAGTTCCGCCTGAGTGAACTCCAAGTCGCTTTGTTGCCGACCAACGCCAACCTCGTCGCAGACGTGGTGTCGGTCCTCCGTGTCGGTGGCGTGCATTACCATCTCAACCCGAATCTTGTCCCAGACACGGGCAACGTCGTGTTATGCTCGGCATGTGCCAAGGACCCGAATGCTGGGTCGTACAACGTCGCTCCGTTCAGTATCGCCAAGGGTCACGATTATGGGCGCAGAGAGACGCTGCCCAAGATCACCGACGCCACGTTGCGTGCCATCACAGCAGCTCGAGCTCATCACATCAACCTTCTTGTCCGACCACATCACGCAACAGCCCACTGCATTTGCTTCTTTGCGGATGGTGCAATTCAAGTTGCCAAGACCTTGCCAGAAGTCACGGACGGACGGCGGCTGCATGTGACGTACGTCGGACCTCACGAAGAGTGCGATGAGACGCTCAAGTCCATCCGCGAGCACCACGAGATCGTTGCAGACACCGCGTACCGATATCTTCACCTCTGGAAAGGTGTGGGCCACCCGAGCTACGTTGATGTTACCATCGACGACAGCACACAGATGCGTGAATGCATGGCTGCCGATGCCGACATGATCGAGAGCGAGGTCTTCATCAACGACGACCCAGACGTCGTTGCCCTCAAGGAGCATCTTGACGCCAATGACAAGGACAATGACGAGAGCCCGATCGACCACAACAAGTCGGCGCCGAACCTCGTACATTCGGCGGTCCTTGAACAGCCGTCCGCTATCAACAAGACGGTCAATGCGTACCTCGATGCGTTCTGTGACATTGTGTGCCCAGACGAAGACATTGACGACGACCACATTTGCGATGGGCCGGACGTCGACAACGACGACGATGCGATCATCAACGCACTTGACGCAGTTGCTGGAGTTGTGACCGAGCACGCGCCTGTGGACGAGCAACTCGGTGAGGTGTCTATGCTGCCGGCACATTTTCTCGTTTTGCTGGACTCTCGTCTCCGCACAATGTACCCCGGCAAAGGCGACTTCGGCGGCAAGTCGGTCCTTCTCGTCGGCGATTTTTGGCAACTCGAAGTCACGTGTGGTCGCGACCTGTACCACGTCATGTACGAGCACGACACGGAGACGGACATCAAGGCTTTCCATTTGTTTCTACAGTTTCATTTCATGGATCTGATCGAGCAAATGCGCGCTGCTGCATGCCCCGCACACCAACGGCGTTTGACGGCGTTCCGCGCGCTCCCAACGAAGTACCCAGAGGACCTTCGGCCTCCGATTGTTCTCGGACACCATCGTCCGCTGGGTGGACGACGACCTCCTCATCCCGGAGATCAATGTCTCTGGAAACATTACAGCGATCTCAACGATGCCCGCGGTCCAAGTCATCCAAGACGTTGGCATGCTCGCGATCTGCCACTCACTTGAACCCAGCGCCGACGGCAAGAGCTTTGCCACGTTGGTGGATGACTCGGCAGGCGGCTCTCGCGCCACCATTCGTCTTACGTTGTACGGCAAGCATGCCCGCTCAGCGACACAAGATTGGGTTGGCCAGTGCCTCTTGCTTCAGCGTTTCAAAGTCAACGATGGCGCCATCTCAGCCTCCGCCCATGCGTGCATTTCCATTGCTGCTTCGTTGCCCGAGGCCAAGCGTCTCCTCCACTGGTACAGCACTCAGTGAGCACATCCTCAGCCTCCTTGTACATTTTACATCGACTGCATTTAACCACAATCATGCTTATCTTTTTCATTTTTCACTCTTTTCCTGCTTCACAAATGGGGTACACTTCAGTTTCACGTTCCCTCTAACAGA